GGGGGGGGGGGGCGCTATTTTATTGTATACAAAATAACGTTATATGTTCCTTTTTAAATAAACAAAACACATTTATGCATAACCAAAAAATTGGTAGTGTTTACAAATTTTGATACAAAAAGTTTTAATAAACTGGCTTATAAAACTTTTCAACACAGGAGTCAAACTGCAGACTGCTTTAGTACATGTATTCCAATAACCCACATTATGGATAGAAATATACTTTATTCTAATGCTTGGTCGTATTAAATTTCTAGTTTACCTATAAGCATTAGAGTCATATACCTACTATATCGAGCTTAGGTGAAAGACAGCTTTAAGAATTAAAAATGAGAACTTATCTAAACTTACGGTGCGAATAAATGAACGGCTCCTCGGTAGCTCAAGTGGTAGAGCAACTGTCTAGTAAACAAGAGGTTGTGTGTTTGATCCGCACCCGGTGAGGATATTTTTCTCATTCTAATTTATTTCTTAAGATTTTTCTTGAAAAAAAAATTATGTGCTTTAGTATTATGAATCTTAAGTATATTGGATATTGAGAAAAAGGCATGTATGGAGGGTACAGAGTGCTTGTATAAAAAGTACCACCATCTAAACATATGCGCCTCTTGATACGATGATTAAGATGTATCAACATTCGCTTGTATAACTATTGATTGTACTAACTTTCTAGTTTTTAGTGATTTTATTAAAGCTTTTCTATATGAGTTGTGTTCTTGTGAAATACAGCCAGTTAATTAGTTTAAAAATTATCAATACGCGCTTATATAAGAATGTTGTACATAGAAAATTATAAACATTAACGAATCGTTACCCTACTGGGCTGGGACCAGAATACTTTTACTTTTTTGGTGGAGTAAAACGGGTTACACTAGTGTTCACTTTATAACCCTCTAATGAACCTGCAGTTCATCTTTTGTAGTTACAGATAATGGTAACAATAATCACATACTTTGGCAAACACTTCAATGATATTACCAAAATCAAACATTTTTAATTTTTGTGTTAAGCTTGATACGAAAGTAATGAAATAATAAAAGGTTTAAAAAGACTTTTGTAAACATAAAAATATTTGTGTCAAAAGTGTGGATAGTTTTTTATAAGCTAGGAAATCAACTGTATTGTATTTTAGTACAGAGTAAATATTAAAATAAGACTGTTTCATACTTCTTTTTTAAACATGTCAAAAAATTATCCTGGTGAAAAAAGCTTTTTTCAACACAATAATTTACGTTCTGTATGACGGGTTCATGTAACCTAAATAATATAAAATTGTTGTCAAACTGTTCTATATATGCAGATTGTTTGAATAATGTTAAAAAGTTAACAGTGGTTATTTTATTCTATTACCTAAAATTACTATCTCAAAAAATATTTGAATACTTGCTCTATGTAAATAAATTAAATCTTCACAAACATCAAGCCAAAAAAATTCTAATATACATTCATATTAATGGTGGGTTTTCTTAAATTTTTAATTGCACTTATGTACTATATTTGTTACATAGCACTAGATCTTTACAATTAAAAAATTGTAATGTTCTTATACCTTAAATACTTACGGTACGTAAGTTAATAATATTTCTAACCTGCATAACCCTGGCATGCCACTGACATCTTCAGCAATCGTGATGAGTTCAGGATAACACTTATGTAACATATAGTTAGCCAACATCAAATAAACAACACCTTCTATATCCACGTTCAACCCAAAATATTCATCGTAATTGCCACTAAATCCCTGCCCAAGTCCTCTCGAATGGTAGAGCATGGAAGTTACGCCATCAAATCTAACAAACCATTACTTGTTAATTTTTTTTAACAGTATTTTTATTTTATGTAGTATAAAAAATGGTATTTTAGCATAATAAGATATTTACCAAGCTTGTCCTTATCGTTTAATACTTTTAGTCAGAGAAAATAAACAAAGAAAATACAGTATGCATAAGATATTTTTTCTCTGTTAAATACATGGATATTTAGCAATACAAAACTGGAGTATTTTTTAAATTTTGTACATACATTATATAGAAATAGCATAAAGCATACAAGCCGTAAAAATGCATTACATACTTTATGTACTAGTTTTAGCATGCCTGGTAAAACTTCTTAGAACTGCATCATAGTATAAATAAATCAAATGATTATATTGAGGAGAAGTAATAATAGTAGTATTGGGAATATTTATACTAGATAAATCAAAAATAATTAAATGGACTACATCAATAATAACAAAAGCAATATCAAAATAATAATATTATTAATAGAAAATAAATGTAGATTACAATAAAAATAAGAATAAAAATATAAATAATGAAAGGTTTCTGTAAATAACATTAGAAATGACAAGTACCATCACAGTATAGGGATGGCAACCTACCAAACTAATCTTAGATGGTGCAACTGATACTCAGACTTTAGCCAATAAGATGTGAAAACGTTTTATAAACGAAAGAATACATTTGTATGTAGTATGCAGTGCACATGCATACTTTTGTGCCCAAACCGTTTTCACATACCATTGGCCAAAGACTAAGTACCGATTGCGCCATCTGAGATTAGTTTGCTAGGTCAACATCCCCATCGTTTTTATCACACAAAAAGAGGCAGAGAGAGTGATAGAGAAAGAGAGAGAGAGAGAGAGAGAGAGAGAGAGAGAGACAAAAAGATTACACAGTTTAAAAGAATTTATCAATACCATGAATTTATAGACCATAGGTTATCTACAATTCTAAGATATTTAGGTTCAAGAGACATAAATAAACTAGTGTAGATCTTAAAAGCTTAGATGCGGCTTGATGTATTAAAGTTATGATATTAACAAAAATTTTAAATAAATTCTTTGAAGTGTATGGGATATGCACATATCAAGCAAAATTCACTAAAAAGAAAACCAAACAGTCCAATTTTTTATTAATGTTAGTTCAAGTTTCGTAGCCCATTAGTCAACTAACAACAAATATTCGTACAAAATATTTCAAAAAAACGTAACAATGCTCTCATTTCGTATTGCTTATAATAATTAAATGCAGAACTTAAGGATGCCTTTGGCAAACGATCACTTGTAGGTAGCCCTGGAAGAAAATATACTAAAAAGTTACGTTCTAGTGTACCTTGCACATCACCCTATATCCTCTGACATAGATAAAAGGACAAACAGTTGTTAAGCCCTTATTTCAACGAATACGAGATAAATAGTCTGTTCTCAAAAAGATGAAAGTATGGTCAGATGGACATCCAACCCAACGCTAGTAGTAAGATCTGAAATTCTTATCAAAAGTTACCCGGAACACTTAACAAATATGTTTTATAGCCAATTCTACTTTACTTCAAAACTACTATAAGAGTCCTCTAAATGTCAAGGCACACACGAAACCCATGTACACTTCAAATGAGTGTCTAAGAAAAAAAAAAAAGAAAATTTTCCCCAACTACTTTAGTTAAGAAATCTAGAGTAGCAACTAATAACGTTTTAGTACTGTAAAGTTGTACTGTACAGTGCTACGATCGATGTATATTTGCAGATTTCTCAAGTTACACTTCTATAGGCGCGTTATGCACATAAGTAAATCAACGATTTCAGAATTTTCTCCATTAAAAAATGTGACAAAAACGAATTCTCACTCTTACTTTTGGTCCCAGAGAAGACAAAAAAGTTACAGAAGTAGGATAAGTTCTTACTTTAATTCCCTAGTTCAAATACTAAAAAAAAAAAAAAAAACTTTC